TACATAAATTATTTTAATTACATAATTCTTTAAATAAAAATTAATTTTTATTTTTAATATTGATTAATAAAAAATATTATAATTACACCATTACCCGTATCTTCAAAAAATCCATTAATTATTGTTCCACTGATTAATAGGAAAAGTTGTTTTATTACTTTCATCGAAACAGGGAGAGACAGAGAAGATCAGTGGCAGAGTGGGGGAACAGCATGAGTCAGTGAGGGGGAGAATCCATGCGATCAGTGACCACACATACAATTTCTCTGCACATATTAAGAGAGCAGAATCATCTACAATAAAAAAGAACAAGCAACGTGCTTATTTTCCAAGAATTTCCTCTCTCTCTCCTGGTATCCTCTTTTAGCTGCTTTTTATTGTTAATTTTATTTATCTTACAATACCAACCACTATATTTGCTGAAATTAACATTTCTTCATTTTTTTTTACTTTTTTTGGTAAAATTTTGTAGAGACATTTATGTGCCTAAATTATTGAAAAAAGCATATTAATTATTTTACTAAAATTTTAAGTGTAGCGAAAAAAGTGCTATGTGGTACGAATATATATACTAAAATATACAATATAAATAATTAAATAAAGAGAACATTTTGAATACATGAATAAATCCTTCTATAAGTTGATCTTCTATGATCTAATAATTTGTATTTTTTTTAATTTGATACATTTTAAATTTTATTTCATCACAACTATTTTCCATTGATCTTCTTTCTTAATTCTTTGGAATAAAACATCGATCAAAATTAATTAGAAAACTATATACAACATACATGAGCTCAACTTTTTTTGCCAGTAGCTTTATTTATTAATTTATTTTATTTGCCTTAGTAATTATTACTCTATATTATATTTTTATTGTTATTATTATTTTATTAACAAAAAGTTGTTAACTATGATTATTGTATTCAAAAAGTTTGCGATCCCTTTTTGGATTTGCGTGTATATACCCATTTTGTCCTCAAAATGCATTTTATAAATTTGTTTTTCCATCTTTTCTTAAATGTTTTCATAACAAAAAGGACTATTCTTCCATGTCCTTACGTTATTCTTCTCAGGGGGAAAAACATTAATTCTTCTATGCTTTAAATAATTCCAATCAAAGCTACTGTAGGAAATGACCACCCACGTGGGCCACGCCATCATGCTCTCTGAATGGATAATTGGTAAAAAAAACAAATCTTAATTTTTTTCCTTTCCTTTTTTGGCTCATCAACTAAGTTGTTAATTTGTTTCAATCAAAGCCCCTAAACTAATTATTGCTTTCTTTGGTCCGATCCCCTAAACTAAACTAATTTTAAAGTAAGCCTTTTGAAGTTAATTATAATATATTACTGTAATACCATGTAAGCTCCTCGCTACTATAAAATCGTTTCATCGAAAGTAAAATTTTAATTAAAAAAATTGACATAATCATATATAACAGTTTTTTTTCTTAATTAATACAATGTGTTGAGTTGAGCTCAACACATATGGACTATTTTTAGCACTTAATTATGACTTTTCTTCTTCTATGATCTTTGTTAATTATATCTATAGGAAGTATAGAACGGAAATGGTTACTTGAGCAATAGTTACTTCGTATAGATTGTATACTTCAAACCTAAATTTAATTCATTTCTTTTTATTTGCAACAATTCACAAAATATTCCAAAGGTAATGATCTATTCTGAGCTCTATTCTGAGCATATTCTCTCTCTCGTGAGTAATTGGGAAGAACCACAACAGTGTTTGGTCTAAGCTTTCAAAGCAAACACCGCAGATATCAAGAAGAAAACGCAAAAGAATGAAAAAATGAGTCCTTTGGAGATCTGATTCCGACAGTCATAGCTCTGCGTGATTATGTACGTCATGCCATGCACTTCTCATTGATTTTAGAAACCCATACCCCAAAAAAGGTACATTGATTTGGGCATATCATTGTCCATCCTTTTATCTCTTTTCTGCGCTAGTGTTAATATCTTTTCACACGATTCATTCATGTACCATGCACAGACTCATCCAATGGTGTTCATCTTCTAATATGAATCTTAAATGGGAGTTTAACTCATCATCAATCTACTATTTGTATACTCTCTCTATTCCATTATATTTGTAGTTTTGGAGACAAAAAATTGTTCTTAAATAATTGACGTTTTAGCAAATCAAGATTGAATTAATTTTTTTTTAAAATTTACCCTCATTGGTGTTTTTTTTTATTGATTCCTCTCTCTTCTTTAACTACCCAATTTTGAAAGGGTATAATAATATTTTAATATTTAAAGTCTCTAAATTCAAGAGTAATTAATTAATTTTTTTAATTTTCGTGCACATTTCTAAAACACCTAATATATTGAAACAGAGGGAGTAAGTATTAGCGAGATATGTGTGTTTGTGTTTATGTTTTTCTTTTTCTCATTAAAGGTGTGTCAACTATTGATTAAGGGTGTTTGAAATTATCAATTTATAAGTTAATAATTTTAAATTATTAAATAATAAATATTAATTATTTTATTATCTAAAAGATATAATTATTAATTATTTTTAATAATTAAATCAAATAAACTACACAAAAATGTACCGTCCTCTTATATGCATATGTATGAACATGTATATGATTGACATTAACTAATTCATATATTTGTTGAAGGTAAAGATAGAGGACTAAAATTTAGAATTAAATTTTAAGACCAATGACAAAATTTATACAATGTCATTAAATTAGCTGTAAATATAATATCGTACGTCCTAAAAAAATAAAAAAAAATTTAATTGTTAAATAATATAAAAACTATCTTTTAATATTTAAATTATATAATTTATTTCTCATTATTAATTTTAAATTTTAATCTTAAATTTTGATTCTATTTATCAATATTCATTTGGTTATCATATAAGATATATGTACATGGATTTCAAGTATATATATTGAAAATATTATAGTTATAATATCA